CAAAATCACCTCATATGGGAGATAGATCTTATTCAACCCCGGTGTATAGACTGAGACTAAGTAACTCCCTTGTGTCTTAGTTACTTTATTGCCTTTCTTGTGGTGAAATAAATAAAAAAAAATTATAAAGTAGTAGTCAGAAAATAATAATAAACATCCTGTGTCCTAAACCATACAATGTTATATCAGTAGATCGTGACCGAATGACAAACGCCAAACAAGCTGTTGTTACTGATTAACAAGGAACGTGTTGAAGACAAAGCCCGTGTTATAGTTTTCAATTTGCTCTTGACACACGAGCCAAGCTAAACAACCGCAAGAAAGAACGAGACTAATTTACATTAAATTCCGGTAACGTGATATTTGCGCACTTTTAGTGAAGCCCAATTGTTAATGTATTGTCCCAGAATGAAAAGTTTCACTTGTTGGGGAGTTCCGTCTCAGTAGATTACAACATTCCATATTTAACTAAATATACCAGGTACAGCGACACAATATATAAAGTCCGACATTTTGTGATTAGTGGTGGGGGAGGCGCTAAATCAGATATTAAAACTGGTCGAAGTCAGATGTTAAGTTTTAAACATTCTTTATTCTGAATTTGTTTTAAAATCCCTCCTAAAATTAATACTTTTAAATCTATTATCATGTAGTAATAGTAATTTATTAAGTGTAGCTTAGATGTGGTACAAGGCCGAGAGTATGGAGTACCCAGTAATGATCGAACTCAGTACTCAGTTGTAATCGATTCAGCGAGACAAGCTTGTTAACCATTAGACAACATCGAATTGCCCCTCCAAAAAGTCCTTGCCGTTTTTACGTCGTGTGGATAGAAGTGGTCACTGATACGAATATGAGCGACTCGTGTAGATGGTGTTGATTGCAAAAAAAAAATTTTTTTGTAGTCAGCACCTTCACTTGACAAGTCACCAGTAATTTTGAAACAAAATGGTCATTTTTGTAGTGATATTATAACATGCTTATGTTATAATTTTTAAATAAATATTATTCGCTCTATTTTGTATTGAGCACTTATTTAAAAATAGTTGTTTTGGTATAAATGGAATTTTATTTCATTTATACCAACCCTGTAGTCGTGTCTATATATATATATATATATATATATATATATACGGAATTCCGTCTTTGGTTGAATAACCCTAAAATAACCCTAAAATCCATGAATCCCAACAACAAATTTCCTGTCGCTGTACACTTCAACCAACTGGGCCACAGCATTGATAACATCAGATGTGTGCTTTTAACGTCTTCATTTCAGAGCAAATAAGAAAGATGTAAATCGTAGTTAAAACACATTTTCAAAACAGAATTACATATTAAAGGATTATGTATGAATTTAGGTTTACTCGGATAATACAGTTTTCGCAGAGAGCCGTCTACAAACTCTCCACAACCGTAATCGTGGCAAACTACGGTCATACAACACATGGAGGAAAAAAGAAGAAGAAGAAGAAGAAGAAGAAGAAGAAGAACAACAACAACAACAACAACAACAACAACAGTATTCCCCGGAAAAGTGAGTCCCACTTCTTTATTTATTTCTCGTGGCAAAAGGACACAGGCGTATCCGAAAATTCGGACTTTAAAATCTTTCTTTTCGTGGTTGATTTAGTCAAAAGACCTACAAATATATAATAAATATCAATCAGTCTTATTGACAATATTGTTATCATTTTGCTGTCGTTCTTTCCTCAAATTTCAATATTAGATCATATATATATATATATATATATATATATATATATATATATATATATATTATAAAAAAGAGAAGAGAGGTGCCGCAAACGTTTTTGGTTGTAATGTGGATTTATTTAGAAAAAAAAAATATTATGCTTTGTTTTTACATAATTTTACGACACGTGTTTCTGGTCTCGCGACCGTCTTCAGGTAAAAGCGGAGATTTCCACATATTATTAAAAATAATTAATTTTTTCCTTATGTTTAATGTTAAATATTCTCGATATGAGACATTCTCTGTTTGTGTGTTGGTAATCCGAATTTCTTTCTTGAATTCAAGAAAAAATTCACGAAATACAAGTAAATAGACAGATATTAGTTGATAATGCAACAATACTCACACATACGTACGGTAAAAAGAACCTTCACATATTGCAGGCCATCTACATTAAAACAAAGAAAACCAAACTCAACAAAAGTATATATGCATTACATTGCATCTAAACATATGGTTCTATTGTTTATATTTTGTTCTCGCACATGGTCTGAAGCCATAAAACTGCATTATGAACTTACGACATGCGTCTGCTATTCTGCGACCGTTATCATCGCATGTCAGTCTTCTATGTCAGCATAACAGAATATAATCTTTCATGGTGAATATCTTGGTTTAAATGTCTGTATAACCACTCTGAAGATGGCTCATATGAGCCGAAAGCTTAGAACCAGGAACAGATTAATAAAAACAATACCCAAATGTTGAACTACACAAAGCTTAGAACGGCTCATGATCAAACAT